CCAACAGCAGATCTATAACAAAGTATTACGCAGGACACTCACGTGTAGCCGTCTTTCTCACAAAGAACAACCTCCTCTACAGCAATCAGTCTGGTTTCAGAAGTGGACATTCAACTGAGACTGCCTTGCTCTCAGTTGTTGAAGCCCTAAGACTGGCAAGAGCGGATTCCAAATCTTCAATACTTATCTTGCTGGATCTGTCCGCTGCTTTTGACATGGTTAACCACCAGATCCTCCTGTCAACCCTATTGGCAAAGTTCATCTCAGGAACTGCACTCCAGTGGTTTAAGTCTTACCTCTCAGATAGGTCCTTCAAGGTATCTTGGAGAGGTAAGGTGTCCAAGTCGCAACATCTAACTACTGGGGTGCCTCAGGGCTCAGTTATTGGACCACTTCTCTTCTCTGTCTACATGGCATCACTAGGTTCTGTTATTCAGAAACATGGCTTTACATATCACTGCTATGCTGATGACACTCAACTCTACCTCTCATTCCATCCTGATGATCCGACGATAGCTGCTCGCATCTCAGCTTGTCTAACAGACATTGTTTGCTGGATGAAAGACCATCACCTTCAACTCAACCTTGCCAAGACAGAACTACTTGTGGTTCCATCAAATCCATCGTTTCATCACAATTTCACCATCCAATTAGGCACATCAACCATAACTCCTTCAAAAACAGCCAGAAACCTTGGAGTTATGATTGATGATCAGCTGACTTTCTCAGACCACTTTGCCTGGTCCTGCATATTTGCTTTATTCAACATCAAGAAGATCAGGCCCTTTCTTTCTGAACATGCTTCACAAATCTTTGTTCAAGCTCTTGTTCTGTCCAGGCTGGACTATTGCAATGCTCTCTTGGCAGGTCTTCTACAAAACCACCACTGGCTCTGCACCCCTTTCTAAATTCATAACTTCAACTGCATACTCAAACACATGGACTTGTTTTGGGAACTGCAAAATAGCTATAATGGTATCATAAAGTTCTTAAAATGTAAAAAAAACATCTCAGGTTAGAGCTCTCGTGAGCGAATACTTAATAATTTCAACACTCTCAATGAGAGGATTATTATAACAAAGTATCTAAAAGTTTGATTTCTACATTAACATTTGCTCTTCAGAAAAATAAAGAAAACCACCTTAAATGTTACTATAACAAATAGAGAAAACTATGCAATTTGGCCCACTGGAGCATATCTGTCTGGATCAAACCAGTCAATAAATGCTACATGACTACATTTTGGGGTCCTCCATATACTGTAAGTGAGCTGCAAACTATGAATTTAATGTGTAAATTTGCCACTAAACAGTAAAAACAATGGATAATATATTTGAACAGGGTGGGACTCGTCAAACACTATTGTTCTAAACCACATTTCTGCCTAAAATAAGAGTAAATAAAACTAAAGGATGTACTGTATAGTGAATCTGGTTTTGATTGTAGTTTCAGCCAGACCAACTTTTTTCACTTCAGCACAAGGAAGCCAACATTCTTTGAGGAGGCATTTTGGTCGAGATTTTGCCATTTTCATGATTATCCTTCATTCATATGGTGTTTGTGGCAACAGATGAATAAACAGATATGCACATCATTCTTTGCTCAGTTCTCCTGCTGTGAGAGCCAATGTCTTATGAAAGAATGAGTTTATTGTGTTCTCACAGAGGAACTGGCCGTGACTTCAGACTTTCCCTGACTGGTTTGATTGTGTATCCACCAGCTACAGCAGTTATTCAGTCTTTGCGTTGTTTTCTCTCCAGCTGTGAGCTGGTAATGGAGAGTTGAACAGGAAGGTGTTGCAATCAAAACACTACTGCATACTCAAACACGTGGACTTGTTTTGGGAACTGCAAAATAGCTATAATGGTATCATAAAGTTCTTAAAATGTGAAAAAAAAACATCTCAGGTTTGTGCTCTCGTGAGCGAATACTTAATAATTTCAACCCTCTCAATGAGGGGATTATTATAATGCTCACCACCTTAAGGAGTTAAGCACTTAGCGAATGCTTCCCTAGCGAGGGGGAGCACTGCAAGCTTAACCTTAAACCACATTTCTGCCTAAAATAAGTGTAAATAAAACTGAGGGACCTGAGAGGGAACAAAACACTGCGTCCTTTAGCAGATGCTATGTGGAACATTGGCCGGCTACAGCCTATAACATCACTACCTGTGCGACCATAGTATAAAAAGACATCATCCACTTCTTCGTCTGAAGGAGATGAAGCAGGCATCCCCAAGGCATGGTGAAGGGACGCAGTATCTCGTTCTCTCTCAGGGAACCATGGCTACATGCGTAATGTGAGACATTCCCTTTCAAGGGAACTCACACTGCGTCCTCTAGCGGATGCTATGGGGAACGAAATACCCATTCTGCCATGCTGAGGGGAGTGCATGCCATATTACTTCAGGCAAGCACTAAGCACCAACTTCACAGGGACACCGTTGGAGTTGCCCCACGGAAGCATCAGCGGCTGTCAGTGACACTATTCCGTTCGGCCAAAAGCCAGAGCCACATACCCTAAAATACATGCCTGCTAAGGAACGAGCAGAAGGGAGCTTGGTCCCAGAGCTCAGCTCAAAAAGGCTTGGAAACAGATATACAAGATTTGATTCCTTTAAGGGGATATAGCCAGGTGTCTAGGTTTCACCATTTTACCAGAACCTGGCCTGTCACCTCATATGGGATCATATGCCTACCCCTAAATCACCCAGGGAAGCTATGGGGTAGCCAATGACCTGTCTGTCTGAGGCAGAATCTCTCAATCAAGGTTAACCGCTCAAGTAAGTACTTCAGGGTCAGAATTACAGCCATCAGTTCGGGGCAACTGATGTGCCAATCAAGTTCTCTCCTCATCTCCAAGACCTCTCCAGATCCCTTGAGCTGGACAGCCATCTAAGACCGCACCCCAGCCCATGTGGGAAGCATCTGGTGTTGGCATCAATGGTGATGACATGCCGAGAGAGGGACCCAAGGTGAGCCACATAGAAAGGGTTCAAAGCCCGCAGCGCATAACCCTTACCATAAACATGGGTTTTAGAAAGTGCACAAAGCATTCAGAGTGCGCTTACCATAAACATGGATTTTTCAAAGGGCACAAAGCACTCAGCATGTGCCCTTAACCTTATTATTCTAAAGCGAGTGGAGTATAAACTGCTCGATAGAGCTCCCAGGAGCAAGTACTCAACATGATGACCCTCTACTATCATGCTCACTCAGAATACTCAGCACTGAGTTCCAGGAAGCATAGTACTCAACAAAATGACTCTTAAAAGTGAGAGGAGTACTAAACCTTACTCAACCATGTGCATGCTGAGAGCTCTCATGAGCGAATACTTAATCATTTCAACCCTCGCAACAAGGGGATTATTATAATGCCCATCAAGGACATAACAACCTGGCATGGCCGAAGCACAGAGTTCTAAGGAACAGAATACTCTGCAAGAACTACTCTCTAAAACGAGACGAGTATCCTCCAAGCTCAATCAACATGAAGAAAAGAGCTCTAGGGGGCAAGCACTCACTGTAATGACCCTCCTAAGTGAAGGGAGTACTTTTATGCTCACTGCCTTAGGGAGCAGCGTACTCAGAATAACGACCCTCTAAAACGAAGGGAGTACTGCCAAGCTCAACCTGAAGGGCAGCTTATCAGGGAGGCTCAAGAGAGAGCATAACAACCCTCAAAAGTGAGGGGAACACAACAAGCTCAACCTAAAGTGCCACTCAGGGAGTCTCACAAAGAGCCTAGCAACTTGCAGCACAGAGCTCTAGAGAGTGGGGTACTCAGCATAACGACTTTCTAAAGTGATGAGTACTAAACACACTCCTACATTCAGAACAGAGCTCTAGGGAGCAAACCACTCAGCACAACTACCCTCATAATATGAAGGGAGTCCAATCATGCTCACCAATAATGTGGATATCAGAGGGGGGCATATTATGAATAATACAGTATATGCCCCAACAACTCGTAATAGATATCTCACATTACACAGTTTCTACTTATAATTAACATACTATTATAGTTTTTAATTAACATTTTATATTTGTATTTTTACATTTTCTGTTTTCATTTTAGTTTTTGTTAAAATTTGAATAATTTTGTTGTGTGTTTTTGTCTTTTTTGTTTTTCTTTTTAAATATGTATTTTATTCATTTTTATGTCCGTTTTAGTTTTAGTTATTTTAGTACATCAAGTTAAACCAAGTGAAAATGAGAAACTAGCTGAAAAAAATATATGATTTTTAAAAATATATATATTTTAATTTATTTCAGTTAAAGGGGTCACATGATGCTATTTTAAAGATCATTATTTTATTATATAGATCAAAATGCGTTGCACAAATTCGAACATCTGGGTTGTGTTGTTCTGTTGTAAATAAATCTTAACCAATGATTCCTAATTGCATCTACTTCCGGAAGGCCAAATAAAGTGCTTTTGCTTTCGCACTGAAACACACAGCGTCTCTCTGACATGGCTGCATCAACACTGCTGCTGTTCCTGATACCACACCTTCTTTCTTTGCTGCACATTTGGGTGGCATTATGCTAATATTTCCACATACTGACGTAGATATGTGGGGGTGTGTTATAACGAGCCGTTTTAGGTAGGCGTGGTTGACTCTTAACTTTTATAAAGAACATCTCTTTGGATTTGAGACTTTAGACTTTGCAACTTTACAGAGCTTTAAAAATTTATTAATCAAAGGAAAAATTGAAATCGCATCATATGCATAAACATCATTTTTTTTTATTTTCAAGCAATTATTTTTTTGTAATGTTTTTAGTTTTAGTTAACTATAATACCCTTGGTTCATGCTTGTTATGCTAAGAAATACAGTTCATTACAATAACCATAGACTGATTGTGGATGCAGCCTGAAAATGTCCTGAACTGGTACTGAAATATGAGTCAGGCATGTTATTGATTTATTTTTGTGATATTCATCCTAACATTCAAGAAACACTGTGAAAATGTAATGGACAGAAAGGGGTTTAAAAAAAACAGGAACTAAAAGGACAGAAAGCAGGACAATGGACAGAACCCTTGAAGAAACAGGTCACTGACACAGATAAAACATCCAGGAAAAATCAAGCAAGCAGAAAGTAGAAAGACGTCATTATTTGAAACTTACTCTCAACCACGGTCTTCCGATTTGACCCGTCGTCATTGATCTGCTGAATATTTCCAAAGTGGATGTCACTGTAGAAGATCCGATTGGCTCCTTTTCCACCTCCTCCGCGGTAATCAAACGTTAGCGCGATGATGTTCTTCATATGGTCAGGATCTTCAAATGGTTTGATTGGTGCATTGAGGTTGTTTTCATCTGATAAGTGCACACTCTTTAGTATCGTGCGTTCTGAATACAGCAGGTATCCGTCGTAGTCACGGCAACTCTGACCGTCCTCGGCTAGCATTCCGTGAGCGCAAGCACATGTTCGCTGTCCATTACCACGGTAAAGACAGAGCTGCTGGCAGCCACCGTTGTTGTTTTTGCAGATATTAGTTCCTGCAGACAGATTTGTTTGAAACAGTTAAGAAATACTGCAACCAAGAAAAAAATCAATCTTTTTCATAGATTCAGTGATATTAGCATTAGCATGAAATCAATATGCAAAGTTAGTGACTCAGTTTATCAATCAGGAATTGAGACATCAACATGTTGACTATTTTATTTAAAACTGCTGTTTTGAACAATGAAGAAAAAAGATAGAGGAAAAAAATATATAAATAGTTTAATTGTTTATATTATTATATATTTAAGGTAAAAAAAAAAAAGTATTATAAATAAACAATTGTTATTAGATTTCGGGTTTTGGGGAGTCTCACAACATGACATTTTAAACAGCATGACATTTTAAAATACGTTTAAGCAGTGAAGCAGAGATGTAACAATAAAACATTACACCAAACCAGAGTTATTTTAGTATCATTGAGAATTTTTAGATTGAGATATGTATATATATATATATACAGTATATACTTATAGATTTCAAATTACCTTTTATTTTTGTATTTTCCATTTTAATTTTGATTTTAGTATTTTTTGTCATATTTATTAGTTATCGTTTTTTTATGTCTATATTGTTTTATAAATTTGTATATAAGTTTTCATTTTAGTTTTTTTAGTACATTAAGTTAAAGAACAAGAACAAAGTTCTTTACAAAACAAAGTCATGTGACACTCACCTTGTTGTCGCGCTCTGTTAAAGACCTTGATGTCTTTGAGTTGGACGCCGATGCCCGTCCTCAGACTTACTGAATCTGTTGCATTGTCTTTACTGCCGCGCTTTATTGAACCATTCGCATGAGTCCTAAAGAAATAATATGCTTTTTTTATTCGTTTATTTTTAAATAAATAAATAAAATAATAATTGTAATGTGCAATTTACATATGTATAGTTCATGTAAGACTTTTAACATATAAAAATTAGGTACTACAGCTTTAACATCATCTGGTTAGACTAAGTTCAAAGGCTCTTTAAATAGGGATAGCAAATAAAATAAAGGTGTATTAAAAATTCTATAAAATGTTCAATGCTGTAGATTAATCATCATGTTGGTGATGAGGAATGAATGGTTTCAAGTGTACAAGCACACACTGACCGGTCGCTCCAGTATATGTAGCTCTCAAACACAGATACAGAGAACATGTCCATGTTGTTGCTGGAAAGCACCACCTCTCTGTTCTCACCCGTCTCCAGGTTAATGCGCTCAATCTTATCTGTGCGCGCGTCGCACCAGTACAGCAAACCCTCCTACAGGACACACAATGACCACAACTTTAGTCAGTGTTATTGTGTTTAGCATGCATGCGTCGTCAGTTAATGAGAGGAAGTTGCTAATACATTTCTTCATGTAATTTGCATATATGTCAGCTTTTTACCAAACTCTAGTGAGCTGCTTACCTAGACTTGTTGCACAAACAGCAGCCAGCTACCGATGTGTTAAATCATGCTAGAAACATGTTAGCAACATGCTAAAAGATGTAGCAATGTGCTAATTCATTCTGGAAACATGCTATCATCATGTTAAACATGCTAACAAATTGTTAAATAATGCTAGAAACCAATGTGTTAAAACATGCTAAAACATGCAAACAATGTGCTAATTCATTCTAGAAATGCTATCTATCTATCTATCTATCTATCTATCTATCTATCTATCTATCTATTTTCCTGTCTGATAGACAGTGGCTTTAAAACCTTCAAACGTCAAGCTTTTAAAACTGCTTCAAATGTAAAATCTTTAAACTTCCAGATATTAAATCTACTTCTAACTTTCTGAACAGGCTTTCTCAAGTCAACAATCTAGTTCCATTATGTTTTATCTTCATTTACAAGTGAAAATGTCTATCCTATATATATATATATATATATATATATATATATATATATATATATACAGTGTGTACGGAAAGTATTCAGACCCCCTTAAAATTTTCACTCTTAACAATATTGCAGCCATTTGCTAAAATCATTCAAGTTAAGTTTTTTTCCTCATTAATGTACACACAGCACCCCATATTGACAGAAAAACCCAGAATTGTTGACATTTTTGCAGATTTATTAAAAAAGAAAAACTGAAATATCACATGGTCCTAAGTATTCAGACCCTTTGCTCAGTATTTAGTAGAAGCACCCTTTTGATCTAATACAGCCATGAGTCTTTTTGGGAAAGATGCAACAAGTTTTTCACACCTGGATTTGGGGATCCTCTGTCATTCCTCCTTGCAGATCCTCTCCAGTTCTGTCAGGTTGGATGTAAACGTTGGTGGACAGCCATTTTTAGGTCTCTCCAGAGTTGCTCAATTTGGTTTAAGTCAGGGCTCTGGCTGGGCTATTCAAGAACAGTCACAGAGTTGTTGTGAAGCCACTCCTTCGTTATTTTAGTTGTGTGCTTAGGGTCATTGTCTTGTTGGAAGGTAAACCTTTGGCCCAGTCTGAGGTCCTGAGCACTCTGGAGAAGGTTTTCGTCCAGGATATCCCTGTGCTTGGCCGCATTCATCTTTCCCTTGATTGCAACCAGTCGTCCTGTCCCTGCAGCTGAAAAACACCCCCACAGCATGATGCTGCCACCACCATGCTTCATTGTTGGGACTGTATTGGACAGGTGATGAGCAGTGCCTGGTTTTCTCCACACATACCGCTTAGAATTAAGGCCAAAAAGTTCTATCTTGGCCTCATCCGACCAGATAATCTTATTTCTCACCATCTTGGAGTCCTTCAGGTGTTTTTTCATGTGTCTTGCACTGAGGAGAGGCTTCTGTCGGGCCACTCTGCCATAAAGCCCCGACTGGTGGAGGGCTGGAGTGATGGTTGACTTTCTACAACTTTCTCCCATCTCCTGACTGCATCTCTGGCGCTCAGCCACAGTGATCTTTGGGTTCTTCTTTACCTCTCTCATCAAGGCTCTTCTCCCCCGATAGCTCAGTTTGGCTGGACGGCCAGCTCTAGGAAGGGTTCTGGTCGTCCCAAATGTCTTCCATTTAAGGATTATGGAGGCCACTGTTCTCTTAGGAACCTTAAGTGCAGCAGAAATTTTTTTGTAGCCTTGGCCAGATCTGTGCCTTGCCACAATTCTGTCTCTGAGCTCTTCAGGCAGTTCCTTTGACCTCATGATTCTCATTTGCTCTGACATGCACTGTGAGCTGTAAGGTCTTATATAGACAGGTGTGTGGCTTTCCTAATCAAGTCCAATCAGTATAATCAAACACAGCTGGACTCAAATGAAGGTGTAGAACCATCTCAAGGATGATCAGAAGAAATGGACAGCACCTGAGTTAAATATATGAGTGTCACAGCAAAGGATCTGAATACTTAGGACCATGTGATATTTCAGTTTTTCTTTTTTAATAAATCTGCAAAAATGTCAACAATTCTGTGTTTTTCTGTCAATATGGGGTGCTGTGTGTACATTAATGAGGAAAAAAAATAACTTAAATGATTTTAGCAAATGGCTGCAATATAACAAAGAGTGAAAAATTTAAGGGGGTCTGAATACTTTCCGTACCCACTGTATATATGTTTATCCTATAGAGAATGCCATGAGGTTTTCATGTAAAAAAAAAAAGCATTTTAAATCCATTATTGACTGAAGCAAACGATTCACGATTCAAATTCCATATTTCAAGATATATGCATTGGCAGGATTTGTAATCGATGCATCAATAAATGAGTCAATGGTTACACCCCTAGTGCTTACTAGAGATTAAAAGTATGCTATTCACACAGCTGACATAAATGTGTCATATGCACCTGATAGTCAATGGAGATGCCGTTGGGCCAGCTAATACTGACGTTCACCAGCACAGCTCTGTTAGATCCATCCAGACGAGATCTTTCTATGCGTGGATACTGTCCCCACTCCGTCCAAAACAGATACCTGCACACACAACCCCCCATGAGGAGAGTGCCGCTTCATTCATGGAGCAGAAACGCACAATAAAAGACAGGAAGTCAGCATTATTCAGATCTCACCCTTTCTCAGGATGTACAGTAATGGCCCGCGGTTTGTCCAGTCCTTGGGAGATGACCACATATCGAAAGGAGCCATTCAATCTGGCAACCTCTATCACATCAAAGCCCTGGTCCGTCCAGTAGATGTTTCCTACAGCACACACAGGAACAAGGCAGTAGTGCTCGGTATTGTATTAAAGCTCTGAATGCACCTGAAAGTGGCAAAAGTGCCTGTGCTTGAGACTCACCGGCGATCCAGTCGACAGCGATGCCCTCCACACGACCGATGCCATTAGTGACGATGTCCTCTCGCCACGTCTGATCTCTCTTAGCTCTGCTGATGGTGCTCAAACCCATGTCAACCCAAAAGATGGTGTCATTGTCTATATAACGATAGAAAGAACACGAATATGAATTACAGAATAGACTACATACAGTTACAGGAAAAATACAAACAAACAAAAAACAGATATACACTTGGTCATCATTCAACTGCATAGCATCCTTTGAGACCACTACAGTTTTCCCAATATCAAAATGCCAGTACATATCAGAAACCAGTACATTTTTGCAATTCATGATACAAATTTCAATATTCCAATATATCGCAATATGCTATTGAACACTCCTTTTTAGGGGCTGTCAAAAAAATTCGAATTTCGAATATTCGTCGAATAAAAAAGAAAAAATCCACATTCGAATTCACTCGCGTCTCACACAAGAGAGCGGCATGTTTAGAAAGCCAAGACAAATTAATGTAAGTTCAACTTTTAAAAAACATGTCTCAAGACTTTATGGCGGTTTTCTCCATCCCACTGCATCTCATGTTTTTAAATAAAGAAAGTAGCCTACTCTTTGTGATTGGTTTTCGGTCCTTTGCATATGAGTGGCTGTGATTGCCTGCGGCCTCGTGCCTCTGGCCTAATCACAGCCGCTGATATAGAGCTGGTATCGCTCGAGTACGAGAGTGATATTGCGTTTATACAACAGTTCGACGGAACATGTGTGTAATTACACAAGAAACAACGGAGTGCCTAATAAAACCCTCTTTTGTGCAGAACTACTTCCTTCCGCCACGGATTCAAAGCTCAAGGTGACAGTTAAACATACGTCACTTTTAGAATTCGTACCAAGGGCATGTGCTGCTTCAGTTAGGTTGTTATTTGAATTTTTTGGAGAGTTGTCAGTAACATTTTCCCATCTGCTTCTCTTTTAAAGGTGTTATTCCTTTTGTAAATACTGTTATTTGTATATACTGTAAATGATGACTTCAGTGGGCGGAAGCCGGGCCCGGGGCAACTGGGAGCAGACGCAGGGTCAGACACAGAGCCAGTCACAGCACAAGCAGAGGCCTCAGGTAAGTTCACAAGCATTAGGTTATATTGATTAATTATAGTGATTGGCTAAGTTTTGCCACACCTCCAAAGCCCCCTTTAACCCACCTCAAAAAAACTGGCTACACCACCTAAAACATGGTAATCTTGGGCCAGAAACTGCAACCGGCGTAAGTGAATGTTAAAAAAAATTAGGTACTTGGTTTGACTTTTTCCGTCTACCCAAAAACATTTATGGATGTTACTTGACTGAGTTATGACCGTTGTAACTTTTGATGGGTGTGTCAAAACTGCGTCGATCCTGAATTAAATAGCACTGGATGTTAAAATGTGTTTAAATAAGACAAAATCTTTGCATGTTCTCGAGTTGTTTGCAGTTTTGCTGGCTATGAGAACCAGCACAATTTCGGTGGAAAACGGGCATCAGTGACATCCATCAGTCTGAGACTTTTTCTCTGAGTCACTGCAGTCTATCACTCGTTCTTCTAAATTAAATTAAGGGCTTTAGAAATAAATCATAAATTTATGCTCAAGCAAATGCTAAGCCTGACCTATTTTTCCTCGGTTGTATTCTGGCCTGCTCGGGTGGAGGGACAGACACAGAATTTTATCTAAAAACATCTTTAATGCGCAGATTCATAGACAAGGCTTAAGCCTGGTGCAAGACTGTCTTAACTGAAATTAACTTGCACTGACATATCTTAAAATGTTATTGCCATTGATTTGTATCGTGATGCACGCCAGCAATGTTTTCTCTATGGCACATTTAAAAAAAAAAATTTTTTTTAAACTGCTTGAATGTTCTAATTAGTGCTGGGCGGTATGACCGAAAATTTATATCACAGTATTTTTCAAAATTATACCGGTTTCACGGTACATGACGGTATTTTTTTTTAGGGATGCACCGATATGAAAATTTTGGCCGATAACCGATTATTCTTTATTTTTGAAAGCCGATAACCGATATGTTGGCCGATAAATCTATATCCAAATTGTTATATACTTTTTGAGAGCCTGATTACAAAAAAGGTCTCATCATTAAAAGCCACATCCCAAACACTTCAACATAAGCAGCCTAGTTTGAACGGTGTACGTTTTAAAAATATTTTTACTCTCCCATTACCAAATTTAGTCATAAAAAAGTCTTACAAATAAATAAAATTATGCATAAATAATGCAAACAAGTCACTGGACATCATTACACGTGTAAAGAATCAAAATGAATGCGCCATAGATCAATAAAACGGAATAGCCTCTGCACGGACAATAATTAAATGATTTTAATTACTAAACCATATTGTTGATGAAAATAATAAGAGAACAATACAAGTGGTTGTTGTTATTAATAATGTATCAATGATTTTGAAAAAGTAACAAATTAATACCACTGTTTTAAATAGCAGCCGTTGAGCTGCGCGTGCTGAAGCTGAAGAGCTGAATGAACATGGTAAACTGAAGCGTTTTGCTGGCAGCTTATTTAACTCAAGGAAATGCATCCTGAGATTAATATTAATACAACATAAACATAATATTACAACTTATATATGTACAAAATGACGCAGTTATTGCATGCTATAGTCAGAATGTGTGATCCTGTTGTGGATGCGCTCTTCCCATATCAACGCGCTGAAACACAGCAACTAAACCCAAAGAATTCACAATGTTTTATTATAATAATGTTCTCATTAGAATGTTATATACATGACATTCCCAATCATAGTTATTAATGTTGTGCACTGCTGTTTGGGCTGCGTGTGCTGAGCTAAAGATGATCACCGGTAAACTGAAGCGCTCTTTTTAACTTAACCAAACGCATTCTATATGAGATAAATCAGATATACATCAAATAAACACAATATTACAATGTACAATTGCACAAAAGGCTGCAAACGAACAGCGCGCATCTGAAGTGTCTCTGAAGGAAATAATGCATTATTTATCGGCTTTAAGATATCGGCCAAATTTTCTTATCAGGCCGATACCGATAACAGAAAAAATGAGCATTTATCGGCCGATACCGATATGGTGGCCGATATATCGTGCATCCCTAGTATTTACCACTGCGGCGGATGGAAAAGGTGGACAAAGTGAGGAAAAACAGTATAAATAAATGAATAATCGAACATGATTCATTTTCAATTTGGTTTAGGAATGCAAATTCAGAACGTTTGATTAGGTCCAATTCATAATGATATTCAGTTCAATTCAATTTTGATGATCAAGTAAACGAGTGAATGATTACACCCCTAGTGCTTACTACACAGGGTTGACATAAATGTGCCCTACGCACCTGATAATCAATGGAGATGCCGTTGGGCCAGCTAATACTGACGTTCACCAGCACAGCTCTGTTAGATCCATCCAGACGAGATCTTTCTATGCGTGGATACTGTCCCCACTCCGTCCAAAACAGATACCTGCACACACAACCCCCCATGAGGAGAGTGCCGCTTCATTCATGGAGCAGAAACGCACAATAAAAGACAGGAAGTCAGCATTATTCAGATCTCACCCTTTCTCAGGATGTACAGTAATGGCCCGCGGTTTGTCCAGTCCTTGGGAGATGACCACATATCGAAAGGAGCCATTCAATCTGGCAACCTCTATCACATCAAAGCCCTGGTCCGTCCAGTAGATGTTTCCTACAGCACACACAGGAACAAGGCAGTAGTGCTCGGTATTGTATTAAAGCTCTGAATGCACCTGAAAGTGGCAAAAGTGCCTGTGCTTGAGACTCACCGGCGATCCAGTCGACAGCGATGCCCTCCACACGACCGATGCCATTAGTGACGATGTCCTCTCGCCACGTCTGATCTCTCTTAGCTCTGCTGATGGTGCTCAAACCCATGTCAACCCAAAAGATGGTGTCATTGTCTATATAACGATAGAAAGAACACGAATATGAATTACAGAATAGACTACATACAGTTACAGGAAAAATACAAACAAACAAAAAACAGATATACACTTGGTCATCATTCAACTGCATAGCATCCTTTGAGACCACTACAGTTTTCCCAATATCAAAATGCCAGTACATATCAGAAACCAGTACATTTTTGCAATTCATGATACAAATTCCAATATTCCAATATATCGCAATATGCTATTGAACACTCCTTTTTAGGGGCTGTCAAAAAAATTCGAATTTCGAATAATAAAAAAGAAAAAAAGAAAAAATCCACATTCGAATTCACTCGCGTCTCACACAAGAGAGCGGCATGTTTAGAAAGCCAAGACAAATTAATGTAAGTTCAACTTTTAAAAAACATGTCTCAAGACTTTATGGCGGTTTTCTCCATCCCACTGCATCTCATGTTTTTAAATAAAGAAAGTAGCCTACTCTTTGTGATTGGTTTTCGGTCCTTTGCATATGAGTGGCTGTGATTGCCTGCGGCCTCGTGCCTCTGGCCTAATCACAGCCGCTGATATAGAGCTGGTATCGCTCGAGTACGAGAGTGATATTGCGTTTATACAACAGTTCGACGGAACATGTGTGTAATTACACAAGAAACAACGGAGTGCCTAATAAAACCCTCTTTTGTGCAGAACTACTTCCTTCCGCCACGGATTCAAAGCTCAAGGTGACAGTTAAACATACGTCACTTTTAGAATTCGTATCAAGGGCATGTGCTGCTTCAGTTAGGTTATTAGTGAGAAATAATGAGGTTATAAGAGAGAAACAATGCGGCAAGACGTGCATTCAACTGAGAGAGAGAAAGACCGCAAAGTTAAACGTTTCTTTTTATATTAACTAACGTACTCTACGATTAGCTCAGTGAATAGTAAACAAAAAAACATAGACCTGGCTAGAACAAGTAGAGTGATACAAAATTGTGAAAGGGCATTCCTGTAGCGATACCAGTACAATATCTCACGGTTCTCAACCAATCAGATTTGAGAACCATAACAAACTGTTGTATAATAAACTATACATACATGCATGGTGCTGTTTTTTTCTTCTAATTGTTTAAGCAACTTTATTAATTATATATGGTTTATAAACATTATTTTAAACATTATGCACATTTTTTCAAAGATAGTCGTGTTATTTTATTACGCTTTGAAGAAACGTGCATAATATGATTTAGCTTGATGCGCCCTCTTGTGGCCTCAGGAGAGAAGCCAAAAGCTTTTTTTCCCCCTAACTGAAATGATTCCTTTTAAATTTGAATATAATTCGAATTTTGATAATATTTAAGTAGAAAATTCAAATTTAGTTGTTCAGTAATTTTGACAGCCCTACTCCTTTTGATCAAATTTATTTTTTATACTATATTAAAGCAACAGAATGTAGTCAAGAAATTCACAAAAAAAACGCTTCCAGTAATTATTAGAGTATTAAAGTGCAAAACTACAAACAATAGAAAAATTAAAAACAAAAATATTGTGAAATAGTGAAATCAAGTGTTCAATTAAAAAAAAAAATATATATATATATATATAACCCATACTGGAGCATATTCACATATATTCAGTTTACTGACGGCAAACATAATGTTTCTTATTTGGAATGAGTTTCAGGCTTTTCCTGCTCAGTTTAGCACCTGCTCATATTATACCACTATTGTACATCAGAAAACATCTGCATTATAAATCAGGAGCTTTGAGACTCACCGGCATGAAAATCAATCCCGACGGCAAGTGATGTGCCTGAAACTGGTACAAGGGCATCAGATTTGTCAGCGGGGTCCAGCGGGATTCCTCTAATGCCCTCATGAACAGAGTACAGCAGGAATGAACCCACACCTGAAATCAACACAACAACCACCACGCATCAGCCTGTTCAACCCTATATGTATAGATTTTATTGTTGTACCCTTGTATTTTCCTCCAAGACTAAACTGAATATATATTACCGTTCAAAGTGTTGAAGGTTAGCACACCAAGGTTGCAGTATAAACAGTAATAATGTAAATAATAAAAAAAAATTAAACTGTAATATATTTTAATATGCAATTTATTGTTGTGATCAAAGCTGAATGTTCAGCATGTCACACGATCCTTCAGAAATCATTCAAATATGCTGATGTATCAATACTAAAAACAGTTGTGTTGTAAACAGTGATACTTTTATTTTTTAAGGATTCTATGATGAATAGAAAGTTCAAAAGAACAGTATTTAAAATGGAAATCTTTTATAACATTATATACGTATGTCTTCACTGTAATTTTCAATTTAATGTGTCCTTGATGAATTTCTTCAAAAAAATACTGACTCCAAACTTTTAAACATTAGTGTATGAAAAACTGATAAAAATTATAAACAAAGAAACAATAAGAAATAAAATATATTATTTTATGGAAATGATTTGTTTTGACTTCATTTACAAGACTTGTCAAATTATAAAAAGTGTGAAAATTAAATTATGTGTACTTAAGATACACTCAATGCAATCTATAAAGATAGCAAGACAAATGGGTCTGTTTCATTATTTGTCAGGTAAAAACACCCATAGCTGTAGTGACACCCATGCATTTACACTGTGCAAACACTGTGGTCTATTGTACCTCCATGTCATTTTCCCAAAAGGAAGTCACACATAATTGCGAGTCTGAATGTCAGGTGTGTGTGTGTTCTGCTCGTACCCTCACAGGACTGCTGTCCGCTCCTCAGGCTGTATCCCGCGGTGCACATGCAGGAGCGGGTGGAGGGAGACGTGGGCAGACACAGCTGAGAGCAGTCACCATTGTTGTTACTGCACATGTTTGAACCTGATTATACAACACACACAGTTAAGGCCAGCATTAGCATTGCATCACTTGCAGTGGATCCTCTGCAGTGAATGGGTGCCGTCAGAATGAGAGTCCAAACAGCTGATAAAAACATCACAATAATCCACAAGTAATCCACACCACTCCAGTCCATCGGTTAACATTTGGAGAAGACAAAAGCTGCATGTTTGTAAGAAACAAATCCATCATTATAGCATTTTTAAGACATTGTTTTGAGCTAAAATACCGGTCGCCGTGATTTTGCCAAGTAAGACATGTTCCTGGATCAACATCTTTGTTGATCCTGGATCAACATTACTGTCCAAAAATACAGACTTAACACAATCCCTACCCCTAAACCTAACCTTACCCATAATTTATTCCTAAAATCAGTGTGAAATGACAGCTGATTAACAAGGGTGTAAAAGCACCTAATCCTGATTGTAAGCCTAAAACTAACATTTCCTGAAAGGTTATCTCTCAATTCTGATTGGTTGATTGGAATGATGTTCCAGGATCAACAAGGATGTTGATCCAGGAACATGTTGTACTTGGTGAAATCACGCTCACCATGTAATACCAGTCCATAATCCATAATAATGCTTCCTCCAGTGAAAAAGTAATCTGGTCAGAATCAGGAGAGACATCTGCACAGATCAAGACATTAACTGATGGACTGGAGTGGTGTGGATTACTTGTGGATTATTGTGATGTTTTTATCAGCTGTTTGGACTCTCATTCTGACGGCACCCATTCACTGCACAAGATCCATTGGTGAGCCAGTGATGTAATGATATATTTCTTGAAATCCGTTCAGATGGCTTGAGAGTGAGTACACGTTCAGCAGATTTCCATTTTTAGGTGAACTATCGCTTTAAATTAAGTCAAGGTCATTCTTTTCAGCACAAATAATCCCTTTTTTCGATGCTAATGTGGCTCTTTGTTGGCACAATTAACTAGCTTGAAAATGCCAATTTGTGCTCAGCACAGATTTTTTGGGCTGTCAACTGAATAATTCCTTATACATTGCATGCAGCTAATTCTTGAACCTGTCTGCACGGTCTCATTGTAGATCTTCATGTGCATCATGGGAGACGTGCTGTTTCTCAAGACCTTCCAGTCTCCTCCATCACTCTTATCACATGTGCCGATCTCATCCGTGCCCTGATCTGCCCACCACAGCTTATCACCTACACAACATCAGTCATAACATTAGTATTTTTAAAAAGACAGCCAATTAAACGATCAGTGCTATATTTACCCATGATAGCCAGTGCAGAGGCTTTGTTGAGTTTGCCTTTGACGGCGTCTAACACCTCCAGCCCTGATCCGTCCAGCTTACAGCGGTTAATGGTGCCGTTTCCTGAGCTGATCCAGTACAGGTGCTCCGTGTCGTAGTCTATGGAAAGACCTGCAGCACAGACCAGCAGCTCAAAAGGATGCAGATGTGCTTTATAATTCTCAGTGGTTTCTGAACTGTTTAAAAATGTTTTTACTGGTTTATGCTAGAGCACTGCACAAGTTTTTAGAAAGAAGGTCATCAGAAACATCCGGGTCTCATGCTTATAATCATACAGGTAACAGTTTACAATAAGTTTCCGTTTATTAACTACATTAGTTGTCATGAATCAACAATGAAAAATACTTCTAAAGCATTATACATTATTAAAATCAAAAGTCGCATCTGTTAATATTAGTTCAATCATGCCAACTCTTGGAATGAATTTTACCAGCATTTATTAGTAAGCATGGAATGTACATAGGCATGGTCTTGGCGAACTAGATCTGCTACACTGCTGCTGAAGGAGTAAGGATACATCTGAAATGCACATTAAACAGTGACTTGAATTCAGACTGCTGCAAGGAAAATAGGGAGAACCCCCCAAGCAGATCTAGGCAGGTGGTGCTGGGGAAGGTGGAGGGTTAGTGAAATCCCATGGCGCTGCAATGAACTGATTCGATACAAGTCAGGAATAAATAGGTTACGTAGATAGGAACAAACAAATGATTGGATGAAGCAATCAGCTTTAAGTAAACCAATCAGCTGCTCAGAATGGTTTCATGACTGAACTAGATATTTAATGGATCGGAGCTACTGTAACATGGACTATGAATTTTATTGTTTAAAAGAGATTAATAAATACTGTAACAAGTGTATTGCTCATTGTTATTTCATGTTGGTAATTAACTAATGTTAACAAATGAAATCTTATTGTAATCTCCTACCTGTTACATGTCTTTGGTGATTTTCCTTTGACCTAGTTTCCCTTGTTGTATTGATTATGTCATTCTGTTCACCTGTGTTCCATTCATTAAGCCATTAGTCCCTCACTTGCTTTTACTCCCTGTTCTGTTCAGTCCTTTGCCGGTTATTGTTTGTTTCTATTGTGTTGGGCTTTACATCCCCACCCCCCCTCCTTGATTAATTAAATACAGGGCTCAACAGTAAAGATTCAGTCTGCTTGCCCAGTCAGGCCAGTAGTTCAGATTTCTACTTGCCATAATTTACACAGTATTTTTTTTTTTTTTTTTTTTT